GACATTGAAGTCCGGTAATTAAACATCACTAACAAAATAGCATAATTGTTTTTAAATCATACCGTTGTTGATTGGAGCAAACTAATCGGTATCTGTTAGCATAAAGCATTGTGTGCGGATGCCTCGATATTACCTGTGCTCTAATGGTAGTAATGATGGATCGTGGCTAGCAATGGAATCCAGGATGTGCATTTAGTATTATTTGGGACTCTTCAGCTGGATGTACCTGCTTCCTGGTGTGATGTTGTTCCCATCGAGATTAGGACTCGGGAGTGATCGCTTCAAACGCAAGAGAGTTATCCAATACACCACCAAGAAGCGATAGCCACTTGTGTGACGGGTACAGTTTTTAGTACAATTGTTTTTATATCATACTGTCGGTACATCCAGCTGACGAGTCCTAAATAGGACGAAATACACATCCTGAATTCCACTACTAGCCACGACCCATCATTACTATCAGTGACAAAATACTGAAATTCAGACGGAATCAAACCTAAGTCAATATCATCTTCATCTGCAAATCTTACCCGTCGCTTTGCTACATGTTTTTGTTATCATACTTGTAAATTCCGGTTGCTACACAGGACCGAATTGCTCGACCCCTGTTGGTAGATAGGCTCCCATGCCGACCCCCTGATACTGCTGAGTACTCATGGTGTTATATTGACCTTGGTAACTAGCAGAGGAAGGGCAGGTATACATAGTTGGCTGTACTCAAGTAGGAAAAAACAGTCATCCTGCATTCCCCTGCTAGTCACCAAGATCAATATTGCCACACGTTTGTTCAGCGTAAAACATTCGAACTTACTGATGTGATGGGCTGATATTTTTTAGTTAGCACTACAGACTTTCGTTAACTCATTATCCCACCTATTTTTTTCAAACACTTCTAGTGAGCAGATGTGCTTATTTACACACAGTTCTGTGAACTACGATCATTTAGATATCATAATAAATTATATTCACGTTTCGAACCCACTTTCACTCCGTCGTTTATTTTCACGGCGTCCAACCTTTCAGCCTTGTATTTCCAACAAATTGTTAGTGTTTTACTTTCAAGGTGCAACACATGCCAACACCTCATTTCAACAATCTTGAGGCAGCAGGTTTTCTTTAGCCGATCATATTTTGCTGATTAAACTCAGCTATAATACTGAAACACATAATAGAAATCATTTTTTATACAATGGCAAGACATTTACTAAGCGAAAAAGCATGAAGTTCGCAATCGTACAAATAAAAACTCAACTGGTATCTGTTCCTGATTTAAGGAAAGGAATTTGATGTTTCATCGGTGTACTAACTTCTCGACATTGGAGAACAGATTATGACTTCTATATTTATAGAATATCACTTTTGAATGGTATATGTGTTGCCTTTTTATACCATAGAAATAAGCAACACACGGAATGGTTAATTATACTTCTAAATAAGGTTTTTTCATCTCCAATTACTTTCTTTCATGCCAAAATCTGAGTTCTTTTTGTTGATAGATAAGCGAAATCCTCATGGAAACAAATAAAAATAGCACATAAATCTAGCAAAATCTTATAATGCCTAAGTGAAATAGTAGTTTGTGTATTCAACTGCATTGCAGAATCATATTTTTTGGTGCATACCTTGATTTCATTTACTTAAATTCCTTAAGACAGAGTTCAGGAGGCCTTTTCAAAATCACTAAACATTAGTTGGATTTGAGCGCCTATCTTATTCATAAATCCATTTGCTAGTAGATATGATGTCAAACTACTTTGCCAACCAAACTTTTTTTGTACGAACTTATTTGACCGTTTAGAGGTCAAATTGTAATCTTAGCAACAGATAACCATTGAAAACGAATTCCATTTTAGTCTGTTTATTGGAAATGTCACACAGTTAAACAGTTTAACTTACTGGATAACATTTCAACACCGAATACATGCAACAGAAATGATTCGACAACTGTCACAGATATGTGGAAAGTTTTACTACCCATGTTATCATAAAGAAACACAGTTGATTAGAACTATATAAACTTCCTCTGAAAGTTGTAGAGTTATATGATATGAACATGTACAATAATCTACTTCCAAAACATTATCCAGTGGATGATACTCTTCTACTGTGTGTCATTCCTAGTATACAGACAAAAATGGGAATGCAATCTACGACAGTATAATTGTTTTTATATCATACCGTCGTTGACTGGACCGAATTGATCGGTCTCTATTGGTATATGGGCTCCTGGAGGATGCCTCGATAGAGCATGTGCTCTAATGATAGTAGTGATGGATCGTGGCTAGCAGCGGAATCCATGATGCGCATTTCACCCAAGTTTTACTCTTATATCATTAAAAGCTAAAACGAAATTGCCGGAAACATGGTAGATACAAACTCTGCGCTAAAAGCTCTAGAGAGTTTAAAGGACACCTGGAAGACAACGGCATAAGCAAAAATAGGATATTGAGTCTTATAAAATATCATTTTGCCATTTCTTTTGTCAGTCAATAGAATTCAACCGTTAGAGAACATATCATTTTCATGAAATAAATCTCCCAACTTGAGTCTCTTTTGATAGTATTTAACTTTCAGCATGGCTTCAACGTAACGTCTTAGATTTCTAGTTTCGTTTCGCTTTGCTGTGTTTCCTTACCAGTTACATTTCATCTAGGTTTGATTCATCAAATTAAATATTCCCATTTCCTCAGTTAACCAGTCTTTCTTCTAAATACCATCAAATTTCCACTTTTTACGTGGACTTGATCATCTCCCTTCGTCAGTGAACCTTTCACTTGTCTTGATTCAGTCTATCACATTTTTCGTAGACTGTTTAATAAATCTTGATATGAAATTTGTTTGATAGTTTACTAATGTATACCTAGATTCGAAACTACGACCGGAACAGGTAGGCTTCAGGAAGTACAAATCATGTGCGGACCGAATTGCAACGCTACGCATCATCATAGAACTGAGTATTGAATGGCAGTCAAACATCTACCTCAACTTCATCGAATTTGGAAAGGCCTTCGATAGCGTCGACCGACAAGTAATTTGACAGGCAGTTGCTTCAACATTATGGAATACCACAGACCTTTACCAGCCTCATTCAACAGCTATGTGAAGATGCCACATGCCGAGTAATTCACAATGGGAAGCTCTCTGATGCCACTGAAGTAAAGACAGGAGTAAGACAAGGCTGTCTACTATCCCCCATGATATTCCTGATTGTGGTCAACTGGGTCATGCAGCAGACAACAGTGAGGAGCGAGAAGAGGGGGATACGCTGGCTGGACTGCGGAAAAGAACCTAGAAGATCTGGATTTCGCCAGTGATGACTTGTGTCTGATGTGGCACAAAGTTGATGATATACAGGTGGAAACTAACAAGTTGACAGAAGAGTCAGCGAAGACGAGACTTCAAGTGAATGTAGAGAAGACAGAGGTGATGAAGATACCGCACCAACAACAACAACAAACTCCATTCACCATCAACGGGAGAAACTTTAAGGAAGCAACCTCATTCACCTATCTAGGCAGCATCGTTTCAACTGCAGGCGGCACAGACAAGGATGTCAAAACCAGTCAGAATCGGAAAGCAATACAGGCGTTCATTAGCCTGAAACCAGTGTGAAGATGTTCTGCACTCAGCATGTGGAACAAGATCCGGACTTTCAACACTAAGTCGGTCAAGTCAGTGCTTCTGTATGGTTCAGAGACTTGGTGCGTTACGAAAGGGATTTCCAATAAACTACAGACGTTCATCTACAACTGCTTACGCCCGCTACTGAAGATCAGATGTCCAGAATAGTCAGAATAAGCAACAAGGAGCTCTGGGAACGAACCAACCAAGAACCTATCAGCTAACAAATATGCAGAAGGAAGTGGAGATGGACTGGATTGGGCATACACTGAGAAGGCCGACTGGGGACATCTCGCGTCAGGCCCTCGAGTGGAACCCCCATGGGAAGCAATGAGTTGGACGTCGGAGGGTGACATGGAGGGGATCGTTTGAGGAAGAAATGAGAGCTTCTGGGCTGTCGTGAAGCCAAGTTCAAAAGATTTCAGAGAACAGAATGTAATGGAGACGTGCTACTTAAGCCCTATTTTCCATTAGGAACCCAAGGGACTAATAATAAAAATAATAATAATATGTGCAGAGTAGTCAGATGACTGGTTGAATAAATCTTGTTTTGTTTCTATTCGCTATCTGTTATTTGTGCTTACAATCACTAGGTTATGCCATTGCTTTTGGTAGTGCCAAACAATGTCATCAAGAAGAGATTATCTCAGTAGTTATCAAAACTGGGTTCAAGCTCTAGTGAGGACAACACTCAGTGGAGTGCAGTCCCAAATAGGATGAAACGCATGTTCTGGACTCTTCTTCTGGTCACTAGGATCAACGTAACACCAAGAATATTCGTCAATACACAGGCACCCACATAGGAGCCCATCCGCCAACAGAGGTCAAGCAATTCCGCCCTTTATAGCAACGGGAAATTACAAAATCATTACAACAGCTGGTACTCGTTGCACAAGATGTGGTTATCTTGGTTCAGTGGCTTATTGATTAGCTCTCTGGCATTTGAAGAGAAGTGTACTGAGTTTTAGCCTAAGGGTCGGAATAACAAAACTCAGTAGGGTGCAACTACGCCCAGCTGATGAGTCCCAAATAGGACGAAATGCGCATCCTGGATTCCTCTGCTAGTCACCAAGGTCATAGTTTTCGGTAAAACAGTTATACTATGACTTCAAGTTCACTGAACATTATGTCTTTCATTATTATCTGTTGACCATTTCGTAGTTGCTTGACATTATACACTAATAAATTATATAGGCTTACCCAAAGCAATGATTAACATCACCTATATAATGTCAGAGATGTTTTTGAAATTTAGCCTGATAGGCTATAAGAGATAAATTACATCAATTACAAAAGTCAGCCGAAAGTTCACTGCATTATTACTGTTTTTCTAACTATAGTAAGCCTATTCTTTTTTTCAATCTACTTTCAATTCTTAGGTATGGAAATTGGAACTGAACCAACTGGACACCATAAAGAAGTAAGAGATAAAAAAGATTTGGCATTACTAGCAGAAATTGAAAACATTTCAGCCAGATTGGATTATCGACATTATGTAAGTTAATTACAGTAGGCTAATATACATTTCAACTAATAACTACCATTGTTATGTTAAAATCTACGAAAGATATGAATTCAGTTGTGCATCTAAATTTGACATTTTAGTTAATTTAATCGTACCATAGAAGGTAAAGATAAAAAAGTAACAATCCCTTTTGTCGTTTTGTTTAACGTTACCGGTGAATTCTGTATACACTTATTGTTATTGTGTAGATATTTCTGAGAATATTCTATACTAATCTGCTTGCACACACTTGTTGATAGTTTTAAGCATCTAAGTATATAGAAATGATTTTCATAGCTCACTATTTTCTGCATAAAACCTTTTCACTTACTTTCCACAGATTTGTTCACTTTTTTCTACTTACTTCTGTATAGATAAGAAAGATGCAGCCATTAACAGCAGGGCGTAGATGTAAAGTAATCGCATGGATGCCTAAAACCTATTCAAGTCACCACTATTAATATATTTTTATTTCACTTATTGAGGAACATTTGTCACAAAATCAGTTCATCTTCATTTTGTTTCGTCTAACGCGAAACTGCAACGCACTGGTTAAGCTCAGTAACTTAAAACCAGAAAATCACGGATATGAACTCTGTTCCACCTACCTAAATTTAGATAGGCTTTGTGACCATTCCAGTTTTCATTCAAATCCAAAATTCAAAGAATGTCAATAAAATACTAAAACACAGGCATAATAGTAAAACAGATGAATAAAATGAAAGATTAATTACTCTTTCTAAGAATATGTTCTAGTTTTAGTCTCCCATGGGGTCCACTTTTCTGAATGAAATCAATTACCAAATTGTTCAAGATAATACATTTATGCCAGTTTTTACATAGACATTTTTACACCGTTCATACACTGTGTCAATTGTCAGATCGACTGAATCATTAAACTGACTTTGGTGACTAGCAGACAAATCAAGTATGTGCGTTTCTTACTGTCTGGGACTCATCAGCTTGATGTGCCTGCACCCCATTGAGTGATGTTGCTCCTACCCTTAGGCTCAAACTCTTTACCCATCACTTCAAACGACAGAACGTTATCCACTAAGCAACTGCGGCACGATAGCTGCCTCTTGTGAGACGGGTATCAGTTGTTGTCATGATAGTTGTAATTTCCTGTTGCTACACAAGGTCTACTTGCCTATTACATAGTTGTTGTTGAGTATAGGATTTTTAAAGAAGCAAATTTTCTTGTTTATCTAACATGTTTCTTTCACCGAAAAGCAGTATTACACCGATTTTCATCACATTCATATCCCTAGAACTAGAATAAAAGCTTCTGTCCTAACAACGTAGTAAGTCCTGATAACAATTTGACAGTAAGTACTTGATTTGGGAAGAAATAAACTAAAATAAAAGACTCATAGATGTTTATTCCAGCTAGTCTATGCACTCTGGATGTTCTTGTCATTTGAAAAACAAACGTCACCTACCCTACCTGTTTTGTTTTTCCGAGTGACAAACGAAAAATGGAGGCTACAAATCAAAGGAAAAATGAATTACAACTGTCATACAAAGACTAAAATTGCGAAATTAAAAAGTGCATTACATATTTCTTGAACTAGTTGTATATTTGTAACAGTTTTGACTTCTTTAATGTGGCACATTTTATTCATTGGTAAGTAGTATTTTTTTCTGATAACAGTCTAGTTATATCACGAAACAGTGGTTTACCTCCTAGTGCGGTGTCTGCAATATTGAACCACTGTGAATGGTATTACACATCGAACAATGTGATTGGAGAGCTTAATAAACATCCCCTTTAAGCCAGTCAAACATGAAACTGTTGAACCTATTTGATAAAGATTTTGTTACGTCTACTTCATAATTCAAAACGTCTAATTGCTGGCGATAGAAATAAGTCATTTCAAACGCATCCTTCAGGAAAAGCAAAAGGGAGAGGTTATGACTTTGAAATTCTGAGTATGCACAGAAACTACTCTACTATTTCATAAAGACTTGGAGATCTGCATTCAAATTACGCTACAGATTTCAACTATGGGCCTAGTTACTTTTGATCTTGTGATCCTCTAACCAGACTTCTTGGTTTGGTAGGAACTGTAGCAATACGCTCTCTAGGCCATGTTTCTTTTATGGTTTATTGTTCTGGACATGTTCAATCACTATATTGAGGTAACAGTTGTGTCTGTGAAGCAGGTATGTATTTAGATGTTGTTTATCGAGAAACAAAACACTCATATACTGAAATGTTTTTGTATGAGAAGGTAATTGTTCACAGCAAATGTATTGATCGATAAACTTTTTCAGAAATCAGTGTGGTAGAATACTACCTTGAATTCGCCTCTGTTCTGAAACACCATTGTTGCATCTTTTTTGCTTTTATTTCATACAAATTAAAAAGAAATAAACCAGTGGTTTGACAACTTGATTAAATTTTCTAAGTTTTACTTAATTGTACCGTTTACCCGAATCCATAACTAGTGAATCTATGTAATAAATAAGATGTGTGATTTTGCTTTCACGTTTTAAGTTTTTATATCGGTATTTTCACCTTGTAAGTTCTTATGAAGCTGAGCCTTAAGAATTATTGACTTGAATTTATCTGTATTAGAACTGTGTTACTCAGAACTGAAGTTAAGAAATAAAGTTTTTATTCAAAGTCTACTCAACCGGAATATTTGAATTTAGACAGCTAGAACAAGAGTTTTAATTACGGTGACGTGTTCATGCGCAACCCAAAACAAAATTAATTCAATTTAAAGCAACTGGTCCCTTTGATAAATTTAAACAGCGTAATGAGAAGACGAAGATTATCTGAAACATGTGATGTATTAGCGCTATACATTTCGAACAATCTGATCACACATGGACTTGTCGAACTATTTATATGAAAATTTACGAAAAGGTCAATGAAGTTAATGGGAAACATAGGAATAGGAAGGGATAGAAAAGGAAAAGAAAAACCTTATTCTTGGTATGAAAATTAAAATCAATACTACCAAGGTAGGTTCAACGTGAGTACAAATTGTTTTTGTATACATAAAGGGGGTTTAAATTTACGGATGGCAAGAGCTTCAATAAATTTAAGCACTCGGCTCTGACCACTTTTATGTAGTACTTTAAAGGCTGTTTTCATGTCTATCCTATGGTTAGTTTCTAGTATATGTTTAGCGATAGACGAAGATGGATGTTTGTCACCTGCACTTATCGGATCTGTTGAGGTCATTTGTTTTTGTAGCCACTTAGGTACATGTTCAGCCTTCCTTAACTGCATATCACGATTACTCCTCCCTATATATGTGTGTCCACACATACATGTAAATTGATAAACACAGTGGGATGTGATGTAATCGTTTATATGTTGTTTCGGTTTGTGCTGTAACATGGACTTGGTCTTCTCTACAATGATGACCTTAGCTGCATAATACGTTTTACAGATGGCCGATCTAAGTCTTTTCCTCACAACAAAGCTATGTGAATCACCTCTAAATGGTAATGAGATGTAGACATTTTCTTAGCAACGGAACACTGTATACTTTTCAATGGTACATAACTTTTGCACCGGTCGATAAATCTCAACGGGTATCCATTCTGTATCAGAGTTGTCGTCAGTAAGTTGGCTTCTTCCTCCCTGGTGTCATCGGTGCAGATACGGTTTATCCTGTTGAATAAGCATCTGACTAAACCACGTTTGTATTGGACTGGACAATAGCTATGGAAATTAAGATATTGCCCTGTCCATGTAGGTTTCTATAGATCGACCTCCTGATCGAGCCATCCTCCCGTCGACTGAGCAATACGTCTAGGAACGGTAGCTGGTTGTTCGTCTCTTGTTCATAAGTCAGGCTAATGTGATTCTGAGCCGTGTTCATTTTCTGTAGCAGGCACATTGCATCATCAGGCTTTTCACATATAATGACTATATCATCAACATATCTCTTATAAAGTGAAACCCTTCCAATGAGATCGTCAGCCATGTTTTCAACATATGACATGTATACATCAGCTAGCAACGGTCCTAATGGACTGCCCATCGCGACACCATCAATCTGTTGAAAGTGTTCGCCCTCGAATGTGAATTCAACTTTATCAGTGCATAATAACAATAAATCTTTTAAAAAATTAATAGGGATAGGGAATATAAGACTGTTAGAAGAAATATAGTCACATAAAATATCAATTGTTTTTACTAGAGGTACATTAGTAAATAAAGAATTTACATCAAACGAGTACATAGTCTTATCCTTGATATTAATATCATTTAAACAGTCAATAAGGTCAAATGTATCTTTCAATGAGGACTTACATAAATGGCTTCTGACAGGGTTCAAGAGCTTTGCCAACCATTTGGCTAGATTATGTGTGGGTGATCGACACATAGACAATATATATAGACAATATATTCGTAAATTTTCATACAAATAGTTCGACAAGTCCATGTGTGATCAGATTGTTCGAAATGTATAGCGCTAATATATCACATGTTTCAGATAATCTTCGTCTTCTCATTACGCTGTTTTAATTCAATTTAGTCAAATAATTATGAGTTATTATAAAGACCATCCAGCCAATTACTTTGGTTCTTCTCATATAGGTTAAAAAAGTAGTTCTTCATTGAATAAAAAAATCATGTTGGTTATTTCAATATTTGCTAGACTGTCCTTTGGTGTTACTCATAATAAGTACATAAGTATACTGTTATAGAAAATAAGCTCAAGCATCTGTTTGGTATACACAGATAATAACCAGAACTTTACTCACGTTGATTGCATAATAATTCCTTCAAAATTTGCAAGATATTCAGCCTCAGTTAACACGATTTTGTCACTATGACTTAATATATATCCCATATCTGCATCGATACGTCTCACAAACATGTAAACCCACAGTTTTACTCAGCATTATTTGATATTTCTGTCCTCTTCATTGAAAGTCAAACTCTATCCTATAACTCATTGATCTTAACTAAACTACAGTTGATTAAGTATCCTGATTCCAATTCGGTCAACATCTAAAGTTACTCATTCCCTATAGAACTGTTCTGCATTATAAAATAGTCTTCTCACTGTACTTTCCCGTTAACTTGTAGAATATTGTGTAGCTCGATAATTATTTCGTCACTTAACCTCTACAAAAAATTCCTACTTTATAATCTGCACAAGTTTTTTTCTAAGAGGATTCATTGACATGAATTTTCTTTATTTTCTTGATGGTACTTGCTTTTCCCTGTTATTAGATAGGGCCTAATTCCTCAACCTCTGTTAGCATATGGGCTTCTATGCGGACGCCTCGTTACTTCTGGATATCCTTGATGTTATGTTGATCTTGGTGACTAGCAGAGGAATCCAGGATATGCGTTTCGTCCTATTTGGGACCCTTCAGCTGGATGTAGCTGCACCGCAGTGAGTGATGTTGTTCCCACTGTGGATAATGCTCTGGAGTTTGAAGCGAAGGGTATTGGGTTCCAGCCTAAGGGTGGGAACAACATTACTCACTGCGGTGCAGCTACATCCAGCTGACGAGTCGCTAATAGGAAGAAATGCGCATCCCGTTTTCATCTGCTAGTCATCGAGATTAATGTTTTGATTCCTTTTACTAACTGACGAAAATATTCTTACATCGATAATCTAATATTCCATTCCTTTTTTATCTATTTTATTCATACGTTATAAATTTGCCTCATTTGTTTTGCACAAATTGAAAACACCTGTTTATGCTTCAATTGATGTTATTTTGTTGATACTGGTGACTATGATTATTGTTATCATCTTATTTTGCGTTAAGAAAAGGCACAGATTTCTTCTTATACAGACCTTTTCTCTTTTTCTACAATGTACATTTGTATGCATGTTTCGAAAAATTAAGTCCATATGACAAGTAATTTTTCACTGTATACATCTTTTCTACTGTATCCATGCATCTACGCCTGCACCACATATGTTTCTGCTATCCACCGAATTATTGATCGTTGGGATATAAAAATGCAAGGTGAATTAGATGGATTCCCACTGTTTTGTTTTCAATGCTTTTAATAAGTGATGCGTACAAAACAGTTCCCAAGTTATTTTAGACATATTCAAAGAAATGGAATTTTAATTATATAATCTAAGAATTTTTTAGACGAAATAGAATTACTGATGCACACATAAAACTTGGTTAGTACGGTAGAATTTAATTTCATATTAGATTTGTTTTTTGATTTACAACATACGCGATACAGTATTATTTACTTCATGAAGTTTCGAGCATAAATTATTACTCTAAGTCATATCAGTGTAGTCATACTACTTTCGATATCTGATATTTATAGTCTTACCACCTAATATTCTATGTTTTATCAGTACCAAAATCTTTCCCATCTCTAGCATAAGTGTTGGGTCATCCCTGTTAGATGTGTTGCGTGTTGATTCGATGGACGAGGAAAGATTCAGTAACCTTATGCTTTCCGGCCCAATGATCTGCCAACTAAGCCTCGAGGCGCGAGTATAATTAATAGTCTGCCAAACTACAGCTATGTCAGCTAGTCAAATGATAAATATTCAGCACTCACTCTCTCTCTGGACCTAATTACATTGGACTTAAATAAAGTGGTTTGATCCCACCGTATTGTGTGCTCGTATGTTAAGACACGCATTGCAACGGCTGAGTGCCCTTCTAGAATAATGACCTTATTCTGGTCTGTCATTCTATATTTAGCTAAATTCTTATATTCCACCAGTTTAACTGATCCGGACAGGCTAGTGTGACCTATGTACTTGACCTCACAGTCATTTTGTGGAATTGGATAGATTAGATTATTTTGCTAAATTGGTTTTACCGGATCCTTAAGCCAGAAGACACAGCTAGTCTTTGAATGACTTTGTGGCTTTAAATGCCATCCATATTCAAGGTTTGTTAATAATACTACGTAGAGTTTCTGATGTACCTTCTTTGTAGAGTAACACATTAGAGTCTTTGGACTCATTTCTACTCGTTTTGTCGCTATTGTCCATATTCGCGTTACCATTATTATTTCATTTCTTGTGTTTGTACAAATTCTTAACAAACCCTAGAGGATAATTATTATCTATTTGTGCTCTTTTTGTGCTTCAGTTCCTTGTTTAGGTCCTTGCACTGACTAATCAGTTTTTTATCTCTATCATTTAGGCATTTGACTAAACCAATCTTAAATAGCATTAGATGGGATGAATTTAAGTCTAGAAACCGTTTAGAATATGTCGGTTTTCTGTAAGACCGTAGTATCCAAATCAACGTCTGTCCTTCATTTTACTCTGCAACTGAATATAGGTAACTCTCTTCGTTCATTTACCACCCCATGAGTGAACTGAATTGCGCGTACTAGTGAGTTTATATGTGTAAGGAAGTTGTCGATATGTTCCAATTTCAACACGGTATCCCAATCGAAACGTATCTCCAGTCGTAGCAGATATATTTATGGATAGTCGTAAAAACTTAGCTTTACAAAGGTTTAATCCTGCATTTAATATATTGTAGCAATATCAGTAAATGTGTATCCACATATCGCTACCACATTTTAGGTGCAGGAATAAACGTTTTTAAAGCCATGTTTTCCTAACTGGAAATGACGCGACACCTATACCCGATATATGACAAATTTTACTACCAATAAAAACAACGAATATTAGGTGACAGGACAATAAAAAGCAGATGTCAAAAGTAGTGTGATCACATCAACATGATTATCAGCAATGACAATTTATGCTCGAAACACCATAAAGTAAGCAGTAAGTAAGTAAGCAGCTGAATGATTAGGAAGATAATTTATCACCATCGATTCAAATTTTGAGTGATCATATCACAAATTGTCTGCAAACTTCCAGTTCATTTGGTACTATCACGTTTACTAGTTAATCCAATGAGGATAGTCAAATTTAGAGGTCAGAAACTGGCCATCTTTCTAGGGAAAAGGAGTTTCTTTGGAACTTATTTTGAAGACTTCAGTCCTCAAGTAGCTGTCTGAGGTTTGGATAAGTGTGAAATGACCGATATAAGCTACGGATCAAGATGAACCATATTTACTTAGCTATATCATTAGTTTGTATGGTTCACTCACAATGGTTATATAAACATTATAATTTTTTAAGCTGCTATACTAGACAAAAAGTATTGCCTATCAGTCAGATAAAATCGATAAGCTTCACATACAGGATGAAGAAAAGGACAAAATGTTTACAACGCCATTTAGCATGTTACTTATGCAGCGTTCTACCTACAGTTGAGTCAACAGTCAGTTTGAAAATATTTGATTTAGTTGCGGCGACTAATTAACACTTATTTCCTTGTTAACTTAACTCCGTTTACCGGCGGGCATTTGTAAACAAGCCATCATTTGACTGGCTAAAACGTAGTAGTCACTATCTATGAACCGACAGCAGAAAAATATGGCCTATTTTACAAACAATGTAGTTCATGGATATTAGGTTGGAAAAAGGAAGTTCCAAAACACTGTAGAACAATGGTCCAGGAATGCATGATAACAACACCTTATCATCGATGTTAATATTACTTATATGGGGCTCGCGGAAGATATTAAGCCCTCAGACTTAGACAATATTTAGAAAAATGTAATTTCAGAGTCTCATAGCTGATTTGAGGGAAAAATGAACATGAAAGCAAATATCTGACTGATTTTTCTTCCTTGAGCGACTGATGAATTTCTTCCTATTTACTTGGTCAGATAATCTGGGAAGTATGTTAAAACATTATAGCATCCGTAGACGTTATATGATAATGGTAAAATTGAAAGCAAGTTGTTCACACTGACTTCACCCACATCTTTGTAAAGTGGGATCCTTCACTGTCCAGGTATGGAGTTCTACATTTCCCGGTACCTACATTTAGATAACATACAATATACTTACCCTGTTTTCAAATACGATTAAGAAATTTCACATCTTAAAGTAAATAAGGGTTACCATTAGTTTGCTGCGGTATAGTAGTGAAACACTAGTTGGAGAGAGACTTTCTTGATAAACTAGATAAGTGCAACATACCAGAACTTTTGAAAAATCCAGTAAACTTAATTTTAATGCTTAGAAGTACCTTGGTGATGACGGAAAAGTGAGGCAGAAAATTATTCTGCTACAGTTTCATTCATCCTTAATTGTTGACAAGCGAAAATGTACTCATAAATTAACACGCATCACGCCCTTAGGGTTTATGCCATTCATTAGTACTAAATAGACTTAATAAGCATATCTATCTTGAGCTTAATTAAAGCATACAGAAGTATATTTCATAACACTTGGTTATCTACGATCTCCCTTAATTTTGTCTTTAATCTGCGCAGGATCTGGATGCTGTTGTGCGTCAAATGTACATGTCTATCCAGAAGGAACTTGAAGATTTACGTACTGCAAGAAATACAGCTACACCGATGCCTGGAAATATTTCCATTTTTACAGCTACTAGCAAGTGAGTACTGGAAAGTTTTCTTTTGGATACTTATTACTTTAATAAAATATAATAATCACTTTACGATATTGGTGTCAAATATTGTTAGGCACATATATACATATATATATTGTTGATCGATCACCTAGAAGGCCTTAGTAGGTTTCCTACACGTCAGCAGTTATGCAAAAACTTATCAGTAGTCTTGAAGTAACTCAAATCCATCTAAAGCTCTATACTCCCATCACGAAATGTCAGTTAAAGAAGTTATTCTGAGTATCTTTACTTGTTGACAAAAAGGCAGTGTGGTCCTAATAGTGTGCTAATTTTGTAAATATTTTCAAATCACCCTAAGTCATACCTTGGTATATATATCTCAAGGTAAATTATACAAATAATTGTTATTCTAAGAACTTCAATGTTTGATGGCTGCCGTCGAAGTATTTAATGCTGAATCCAATAATGAAATATGAATGAGTGTCGTAAGATGAAAGTGTCTATATAAGAACAATGATAATAAGACTCTAGGTATATTCATGATGGAAAAAGGCTAAAAAAGGAATCCAGAACACGCGTTTTATCTCATTTTGAACTTTTCAGTTGAATGTGCCCGCCTCTAAGTGGTTGATATTGTTTCCACTCAAAGTGAAATTCAGGGGTCAATTGCTTCAAGCGTCACAGCATTATTCAGTAGTCCACTGAGTCATGATAACCATTCCTTGTGCAGCGGGTATAGTTTATACGATACTGCCTGCATTATCCTACCATTGATTGGACCGAATCATTGACGGGATAATACAAGCACCATCATATTAACTGTAGGCATGTCATGAAACCTAAAGTGTATTGCATTTTACTATATACTAGTCGTCTTAAGCAATTACTTGGGACTGGAATGGAAAATCACATCTAATAATTCTTGATTTTTATTCTTAATCGGTGTCCTTGTTCAAGTCGTTTCCATACTTTCTGAAATTTGTAAAATAATGAAGTTTTGATAGGTCACTGTTAGTGTGTAAAACACGAAGGATGTATACTTCAATTAATAGAGTTCTTAGAACATATTAAACGGAATCCCTCGTCACAGTTAACAGTCACACTCAAAGTGATTCAGCTATTGAAATATAAAATGAAACAATTATTTTCTCGTTTAAGTGACAACTACAACCAGTTAAAATATCTTATTAGAAAGTTACAAGAAGGATTAATTTCTGTAAAATGCGACAACAAGAATTTAGCCGATGTCAAAACAAGGATTCAGAAATACCAGTGGAGTAAAAATTATATCTCGTGATGAAATACGATTCCGACAGTATCCTTCTCAGGGAATCCTTTCGTTCTCGTAGGGACTTCAATTCTATAACCTTATGAGTGTTCATGCACTTAGCATTGACCAAAACCTGCTGATTTTACCGGACTATTCAAGCCTGAGAGTGGATACAGTGGAACTAAAACCCATGACCGACTACGTGAAAATCAACCACTTAGGCTGGTGAACCACAGCTTCATCTTTATGCACAAACTAAGTTTTCTTTACTTACAGAAACATAATTCTAGAAAACCTTTTGCCTGACATTTCAGTACAGATGCTTTGTTTGGATAATTCGTGGGATAATTACACTTATTGGCACTCGTCTGTCGAAAACATGACTAACAACTACCTTTTTCTGAAGCTTGAAGTGAAGTTCTTATTTTATAATGACAGAAACTCAAAGATTTCCAAATACCAAGATGCTTAACAGAGATCAAAAAAGGTATTTTGAAACTTAAATATCCTCAATTAAAAAGAGTTTATCATTGCTTAGCTCCCAGTTCTAGGCCGGATATCGTCTATCTAGACATTATTATCCTTAGTATTCTGGAGATCCATCGCTTCTCCGAGCAGGAAACAGCCATAGCAATATGAAAACGAATACTGCTTCTATAGCTGTATGTTTAAGTTCCCGAAAATTGATTAGGGAATCCCAATCCACGCTTTCAAGGCTTCAACCCATCCACATTCCACTGGTAATTAGATCGTTTAACCATGCTCACCTCTCCGTGAACAGATGTTCGTAGGATGTGTCTCACTGAGTCTCCATAATCTTGCAGAAAGAGATGCATTTTACCTTCCCGGAAGATTATCTTCCTCTCGCCAAATTTTCAAACCAGCAGGTTGCTCACAGGTCTCCTGTTATGAGCCAAAGTTTCGGCAAAATTATGCTCAGAATTCTGAACCAAAAATCACCCACTTTGCAAGGCTGATGATACTATCTCTTTCCTCAACAACAGTGAAAACCAAAAGTGTGAAGCTGGATTCACTTACCTTTCGCTTACACTAATCTCAGTTCACTGGGATGAGTCCTGATAGGTCATCTGGTTTGTCCATACTTTGGATATCCTCGCCACAAACCAGCGTATATGAATGTCGTCGACTGCTTCTGACACTCAGTCAAATATAACAGTGAATTGGTTCGGATTCATGGAGGCCTCTAGGAGCTTCACAAACTTTGAACACCATCATAAGTGCATGTATTATCTCCGGTTTTCTTGGCCAACAGTTCAAACACCAACACTACTTGATCACACCATGTATAGCACCTTTAATGTGACTCCCTGTCACGTACTTACGGCAAGAAATTTGGTTATTAGCGTATTTATTTGGGATATTATTCCAAAATGCAAAATCTCACTAGAGGGGTAAGAATAAGTCGAAAAATTCAGAAATTTCTTGTAGTTTACGTTCTACAGGACATTATATGGAAGAAGGGACAGTTGATAGAAGATAAATATTGGACCTTAGGCCAAAGGAAGGGGAAGAAGAGAGAAGATACATGTGTATATTCATGTTTATAAGTGTTAGGATTGACTGAAGTGGTCATTTGGAATGTAAGGTATTCGATTGCAGTTATGAATGCTGATATTGAGGAGTTTTGCGTTTAACGTTATATGAGATCGGCATTCCCTGCATGAATCTATCATAAGTCTTGGTTGACCTCTTATTAGTAAATAAGCAGATGTCAAAGAGTTCCAGCGAGGTGAAGTTTAAATGTTGTGGGTACTCAGTGGATGCTTTGCTTATTATTCCGTGGTATATGACGAACATAGGAATGAGAGTAACAGACTTAACTGGTTTGTAAATGCAGGACATAAACTGCTTGTCAGAAGATGACACATTAAGGCAGCCGGATTTAGAGATTTCTGATGAACGGCTGGATTTAATGTTGGCATCATCGTATATTATGCTATTAATCATATATGCAGTCTCGTCTTGAAAGAGAATTAAACCAGGTTTTCAGAAAGCTGTTTTCGTCGGAATTAAGGGTTCATATAAAAAGTGAACCTTCTTCCTGCGTAACTTTTTTTGTAATAAGGAAACATACAGCGTTGTGTCCAGCAGACCGGGCATTTTGTGTGGTTGAGCAATGCTGCAAGGTATGCCGAATGCTTTCATGATATCCACAGCGTCAAAGATCCTCATTTTTGTGACTTCCCCTGGACCATAGCAATGTAATGCTAAGCAACCCCCTTCCCATGAAGTTGGATTGTATTTATATATTACCGAAAAATCTCCTGTCCGGAAATCTTAAGAGAGTCATAATAACTCGTGCAAAAGGGCGTATTAATAAGTATCGTCTATTTGTAATGATGTGATCAGGCAGCGTCCATCAAATAAAATAATTCATTCAGATTTTAAAAATTGAATCGCGGATCACATTTTGAATCAGTTAAAACTTTCACAATTCAACTTCCTTCCTTACTAACACCTTTTTATTGACATTTACACCGACACTATGATCAGTACTTCAGATAATCAGTAGATCAAAATCAGCAAATTATTAGTAGGTATTATATTGAACAGAAGATTTGAAATCAGGGGATGAGATTTCGAAGGGCTGATAAGGTTAACATTATGATATCATAAAAATCTGAAGTACTCTTTCTGACTTCAAAAAATTAATAATTGTCAAACATTTGGAAACATACCGTAGACAGAACATATGGTATAACCAACCACTGAATTTCACCCTAATTCTACCAACAGATAAATGTTTAAGGCATAGTTTGACATTTAATTTAATATGCAGTAGGCCAGCTTAAAAATCCTTTTTCAGTTCAGTACTTACATCATTCATGTAAAAGCTGTGCCTAAAAGAGTATCCTACCCATAAGTTTTACCCATTATTGTTTCCCATAAATATATAATATAAAGGTAGAAAGACCACGTGGAAGTAACAAAGAATAAAGCATGTATATTATTCAACAATGATAATGTTGATAAAAAAAATGTTCAGTCTATGGTAAACTTAACATATTTTAATGTATCACCCCATTACAATGGATTTATTTCTTTTATCTAGGGAGGGCATTGAACGCTATGAATTGATGTTCCCAAATAAAGCAAAACGGAAAGAATGGGAAAAAACAGTACTGGAATTAAAAAGGCAGTTAAGTAAGTTTGTTGACCTTTTTCTACATGAATCATCTGAATGTTCTGTAAGTACAGAGATTAAATCTGCTATGAAATGTAGTCATATATTGGTTCACTAATGAGTATTGAATGCCACTGTTACTTTGAACTTGGCAGTAAATACTACGCTTTAAAAATAAGGCATAAAAGCATTACTAATTTTGAATAAGTGATCACTCAGCTTTGTTGTTTTTTGTATGCTGGCCAAATGCAAGATTTTTGTCATTATTTTCATCAAAAAGTGTGTAAAAAAGAGAAGGATGTATTATTGTTATTGACTTCAATTACTTCTGTCATGGAATACGATAAAATCTAGATTCCTCAAAGAAGTCTTGAAATCCCAGAAAAGCCTCTACAACCATTCTTAGTATGTCGGATTTTCGGGGAAACCACGTGATCATACTTGTGAGGCTCAGATTGGTTAAAGGGTTCTCTAGAAAAGTGTAGATCTTTCCATGGCTATCAACAAATGTTTATGAACCGTCAATTGTTGTACCTATTTGAATGAACAACAAACGTTTGTCGTGTTTGTCACTTCTTTTCTGTTTTCGAGAAAGCAAGCGATCCTATATAGTTATATGTATATATATGATACATGGATGTATCTTCTCAAAATTTATACTTTGGTGACATGAACGGTCTTAATACTGTAAGCCTCTTATCTATCTATGAAATGCTTACATAACAAGTCGGCTGAAGTTATCCATCGACATGAAGAAAAGAGTATCAAGTTTACGTCGGAAGGTCACCATTTCCACAATCTGGAATTTTATCGTAGTCATTTAACACCTCTGGATAATTTAATGATAATGATGACGATTCTTCTACCAGACAGTGGCAGCACTGGTGTCATACTTGACAAAGACAAATACATGAAGGAAATAATGTCAGTTCTAGATGATTCATAATGATTTCTGATTGATCTCATGAACTCGACATACCAGAGTCAGCATAAAAACTGATAGCAACAAAGTTGAAAGAAATTTTGAAGGGGATGTTGAAACAAATAAAAACCTAAACTGATTCTGAGACTTTGTGGATGTAGGGGGGAATATATTTGTTTGGCCTCTCAAGTGCACAAAGCTAATACTTCAATGAGACCAATCCTACCGGTGTTCAACTAACTATTCTGCATACTTCCCCGATGGCTAGGAAAACATTTTAAAGCCATCCGCACAAAACTATCTGTTCCCAGTCGGAGTTATACCTTTACATTCGCAGAAATATTGAAAGATCTTAACATCTTTCTATTGTTATTTAAACTTCGGCCACTTTTCCCCAGTTAGTTACAGAAGCGTTTGTTAAAAACACTTTTCAACAGAGCGTATAAACTGTTCTCTGAAGATACATTGAAGAAGAACTGAACCGAGTCGAACACTTCGTGCGAAAATACTTAGTTTCAAAAAGGCATTGGTAAGGATGGTTGGACAGAAGCGAAGAGAATCAACTGTAGTACTGGTGACACTAAACTTGTCTATCTACACCTTACCTTCATATGGGATCAAATCGCAACAGGGATCAGTGCTACTCCAAAGGTGACCCCTCTAGCTATCAGGTCCCTCTGCATATATCAGACTAAATTTTCACTAATTAAAGTCTTTCAAACCCATCAAAAACTAACTGGAACCCAAGCTTTAGGAGTTTGGTGAAGTAGTTCCAATTTCAATACTTAGACCTAATCTATGTATTCAGAAAGATACTGCTGTCTATCTTGCATAACCTTGTTAACTTTAATCTTCCAAGTTTGTAAATACAGATTTTCATGATCGTATGACCTTCTGTTTTTTCACTTGATTTTCTGATGTATTTCAAAATCTACTCTCACCTTCTGAGTTGTGCTCATCTCACTGTTCAATACAGAGAAAACATGTGAACGTTTCATTGCGCTTACTTGAACAAGATCTCATTTTTGTCAATTCTAGAATAACAATATTCACAACCCCCTCTCATTTTATGTATATATTTTTGCTATCTTCTCTAGAATGTTTATTCTACCACTGTATAAGTAGATAGTTAACGTTTGAGAAGTCTTAGCAACTTCGTAAATCTCAGTCAACCTAAACCTTTGTTGCCTACCATCTCAATTGAAACCTTATCAACTGATGAAAGTAGGTGTATGACATGTTTTTTTATAATAAACAGTTAAAGTCTATAGAGTGCAAAACAGTCGAGAAGAATTCCTGAAATACATGCATGATAATTCGGTTACAATTATTTTTTCTGCTCTATACAAAACTTACAACCAGATGTTTGGATAACAAATTCAGCCTTCAAAAACCCCAACAACATAAATCTAAAACTCATTGGTTTTCTTTCGTCTGACAGATCCATTTTTGTGTTTAACCTTGAATAAATCATTCGAATAAACATAAAGGTCACCTATTGTACAAAACCTTGGTATGTTAACCTGAAAACTTAGTGTCAGATTCATACTCTTGAAAAGTACCGTCCTAGAAAGAACGAAACGTTAAGGAATCATACAAAATATTCGTTTAGTTTATTTGTTTTAGTATACTTTGCCGGGATAACACAGGTAAAATACACCTCATTCAATGAATAACCATATTTGCAGTTTATTTTTAATGTTCACATTGGAAGAATGGACAAATCATCATTGACAAGTTATTGAAGGTAAACAAAAATACGAGCCTAATTGATGTATGCTAAGTAGTGGTATATATTCAAAAAATTTTCCTACAAATCTAATCATCATCAAGATAGAAAAATGTTCTTAAATTGTTACTGAAAAAAAAAACCCTGAAGGAGCCAAGGTTTGAAAATCCATCTTAGCATACCCAGGTAGTTAGTGAGTGAAAAGAAAATGTGTAGATTATCACAAGACCTAAATCAGCATTCTTTGGGTAACCAACTGATATTCTACTAGATTAGTTTGGGCGTCCAACTCCTTATAAAATCCAAATTTCACTACATTGGAAAGAATCACTTCCCTTGGTAACGTGGATAATTACTGGATGAGTATCTTTTCATTCCAACACTTGCCGTTGGTTATGGGAAATAAAACAATCATTTTGATTCACACTATCTCGAGATCTGGGTTTTCTTACACCTCTATTCATTATACTCACAGCAGAAAGGAAGTGGTAATAATTAAGTCTGTTCGACACTAAAATTATTATTGCTTTATTTCAAAGGTTCTATCAAACGAATGGCGAAATTTAATGAGGCCATTCAGATTCCACGCACACTACCAGGAATACAGGTGAGTGAGTTCTTTCAGTTTCTTGAAAACTCAGAAAAATATTTCAGTTATTTTACTATAAAATCATGATGTTAATTAAGTTACATCTTCATGTTTTTTATCTTGTATTTAATCATGATTTTGCTTAGAATCATTAGTGGTCAGATCACACTAACTTACGATTCTCACTTGCTTTGGGAATTATACGTTTGTTTAATCTGTGAAAGACGATTCACTTCTTTACTGAGAGAAAGCTTTATAAGGTTACTAGATATAACTGACTGACTAAGTTACTTGCAGTTTGAGGGAATTTCAAATTACATTATTTTGTGTCCTTGGTATCCCGGTATGTTCCTGGTAAACTAACAGTGGATAAAAAGGTTTCTGGTAGTATGCGCAAGCCGTTCTTCATTCATTTCAGCAGTCAGATTTATGACTGTGAAACAGTTTTTGGATGGTTTGAAGCAAACATTTTAAACTTCCTGCTAAATGACTTCAAATGCTGATCATATCTGTATATTGGAGTAGGTTTTATCACGGATTGACTAAATAATCATTAAAAAGAAGTCTAACAGCAAGGAACAACCTTTTCATCTTACGACTTCATGAAGCTACACAGCCATAAATTCGTGATAGATTGAGCCAAGGTCGACCACTTATTTTAATATGTCACCTTTCATTCAATCGATTAGAATTAAACAATCTAACATTTCCATTTGTTATTTATTGATATGCTGTGACAATAATCTAATATTTGTCCTTGAACACGACCTGATCAACTTCAGCCTTTCGCCGGAACTTCGAGAAAGATATCTCAAAACAAGTTCAGTCACTTACTGAATGGTAATATGCTCACTTCGACATCTAATGGTAACTAGCTCATTCCTTTACAAAGTCTTACGTTGATGAGGTTGAAAAGAGTTGCAAACTAAAACAAATAACATCAGTTTGCTGTGATAACTATTGGTTTATGTTATTATCCAGAAGAGATTGGTCAAGAAATGTAGCTATGAATGTAAGTTAAAAAGTGAATTGACAACAATATTTATGTAATGAAGTTCACATTTAGGCAAAAATTCTATCTATGAATCAGTCACAGCCGCCATTTAATTACCTGAATATTCTTCTAGCTCATGCATTTCCTTACAGGCTTTCTGATTAAGCCATCTGTTTCATTTCTAACATCTGTGTTCAGATAACATAATTTTACAACAGTATCTTATCGTCAAACAACCGAATGTGATAATCAGACATACATAGATGACTTATAAGGAAACCTAAATAGTCCCAATTTACAAAATTAAATTAGCTAACTATTAACATAATCAACTACTTCTACTTAGCCTGTTTAAATTTTCTGAACAGCTGACCTCATTTTCATATCAGCAAATGTTTTATCTAATAAAGTTTGAAAACATTCTTTCACAACTTTAAAAGAAATAATTTTACAGCTAAATGGCATGAGAACAGGTGTCTTATTTGTTTAGGATAGGTATTATCAATTCTTCTACACAAGTATTGCCATTACTTCAACTTTTCTTATTTGTACAGTTTGGTCCTATATGACATATAGAGCTAAATATTTCGACCTAATTTTTGAGAGTATACGCTGAAGTTGACCTAATTTTGTTAGATGTCAAGCAAAAGTGAACAGGATACTCTGCCTTTTGGCACATACCAGACAGGTATACGTATCGTCTGAATAAAACTCATACATTGCTTCGAAAACTAATGAATCACTGACTGTCATCTGCTTCTACAACGAGAAAATACACATGAATAAGCTGTAGTATATTGACTGTTGTAACTTGGTAGTACTAAACGCTTCCAATGACATCTTTAAGTTATAAGCACAACATTACACCTCAACTAGATTTTAAAAGCGAACATGTATCAAGCCATGTAACCTGTTTACTTGAATAAATAAACAAACTGATAGGTGTATACATGTCTATCTACACATATAACTCTGGTGTAAGGTTGAAGAAATCGGTATCAGGAAAACAATCTTATTATATGCCAACTCAAGTCCAAAGGTATCTTGTAATTTAAACATTCTGAACACGTGTAAAAGGCTATAATTATACACATTTACACAGAATATGACAGAAACCCACACATCTAAACCCTTAGCCTAGTGATTTCTTAGTAATAATTCTTGCAAAAGATTAAATTATATATGTTTTAACTTTTATGGTATGTTAGAAATCAAGAAAGCGAACAATCCAACATAGTTTTCGAAGTAACCATGAAAAAACAACCAACTTCTGTCATTCTTACTGCTAGATTTATTCACGTTTGATGATCTGAAGAATGACCGAGAACTGTGATGATGCTTGAGTGACTTTTAAGACCACCCCAACATATACTTAAATGATCATCTAAGTACCTTTATCTTGACTAGGAGGATAGTTTTTCGGCAGTTGTTACAGTAATATTAAAAGTCACTGTGATGTTTTGATGTCTTAAAAGTTGAATATATGGTATGCCAACTTGTTACAAAATAAAACCGTTGGAAGAAAAACTGTAGAAAAAGTGTGTCAAAAGGGATTTGGATTCACTGCAGACTATTTGTTAATTGCTTCTTTTAAAAAACAACCTGTAAGACAATGCTACACTGGCAAACCACTCATTTGAATTCATCGTTCACTATTCCTGTGGACTATGTAACCGAAGAATTTCTACTTAGTAGAGGATCATGAAATAAGGAACTTTAATCGGATTATTGAAATATATAAACTAACTGTATGTGTGAGCTCAGTAGAAAAGAGTGCATTATTTTCATATTGTTAGCCGATGCTTTTGACTACATCTCACCACCCTTAACAATGATATGTTTTCGTCTTTTTACACGAAGACGAACTGTCAGTTGGAGTAATGAATAATCCACCTATTCCAGTTACATAAATTTGAATAAAACCTCATATTTTTTACTGTAAACCAACGTTGGACAGTTGAGAGCACTTGTAGTAATAGTAAAAATACTAGCAAATATATACATGAAACCTGTATATGAAGTAGGTTGATGTGCATCTGGTTCTACAGTTTTCACTGAAGCTAGAATTTCATGAAGGAATATTTCAAGATAAGTTGTTGTTTTCGATGATTGGTGGCGGAAAACTGAACTCACTACAGTAAAAGATATGTAAAACAAACCGAATAAATTAGAAAGCATACACATTAAATGTCGTTTATGAGAAAAACTTGGGTAGAAAGAAGACTTAATGTTCAGACCATACGGTTTTCAAGTGGAACAGTGACCAGGGTAAACACCTGTGATTATCTCATGATAAAATTTAAAATATTTGTCAATTTCAAACCAGTTATGTCTTACAGATTTTGAACAATCTATATTTTCCCAATGATTCTATCTTGAATTTAAGCCAGCTATGCAAAATATTCATGACTCCGATATGTAACTTTAAAGTAGATACAAGGTAGTGTAAATCTGCATTAGCCACATATCACTTTAAGTAATGCCTGGCTCCTTGAGGTGGAAGCTATTAGTAACTACATAGAGTTCAAAAAGATTGCCAAGCAAAATTAGTGTAACAAAAAATGGCGGATAGAAATCTGTAAGTCAAAAAGACAGTTTTAAAATTACTGAGTTCTATCCTTAGCTGGGTCGTGGTTGCGTACTGCTGAGGAGTCCCATGCTGAGACGAAACAACTGTCCAGTGCTACCAAGTTTTCAGTGGTTTGCCAACCGATATCAGTCTATGACGAATACAACTTCAGATTATGTAGTAGATAAAAGTTAAAGATAAGAATTGCTATCACTCTCGCTAAGTTCACATAAACCATTTAGCTGACAACAACCTTTTCTGTGACACTGCTATATATTCACGTATCTTTGGTTTATATTTTAGGTCGTACAACTTTGTCATGCCAATAAAGTCTTACTAACTGAATGTATTCGGTATGCTTTATTTCGTTTGCACCACTATTTCATTTGGTAGTGACCAGTTATACAAATAGGATTTGACTTCAAATATTCATTTCAACATTATCATAAGTACTTCCCATGCATTTCAGAACTGAGTTGTCTACTTAGACAGCATTCTTAACTTGTTAACTATATGGTAATAAAAGTAAACCTTACCCTAAAGGTTATTGCATTAGTGACTGAAAACTAAACCACATCTATTACTTTAGCTTGCATGGCCACAAGTCTATAAATTCACAGTAGTATTCAACAAAGAGAACCCGTAAAAACCTAGAAGCACTAGACAACTGTTTCGTCTTAATATAGGACTCTTCAGCGGTGCCCAATAATGACCCCGTGAAAAGTCTATCTCAGGACTGTGTGGTCTCATAGTGAGCGTGGAAATTCAATCGTCCAACTTTTTAAACCTCTAGCCGTTAGAAGTGACCGTCATCCAATGTCTTGGGCAAGTATTTTTTAGACCTGACCTAGTTGACCCTTCAGGCAAAGCTTCCCATCAAAACCTCAGGAAGCCTATCTTCAATCGTGTCATAATTGAGTTTTAGATCAGTCAATCTATACAAACGTCCAAACCGAAATTCAAAATTTTTTGGTTGTCTATGTGTACGTTATAGGTTAGATTTCTTATTAATATCAGTGGTATTACGAAACGTTTTCTATTTGATTTTTATTTAACTAATTTAGCTCTCCTGTGCATCTGCGATTGAATCATCTCCACTAATAGCTGAAACACCATGTGATGTTTGGCTGTGTGCATCAGACGGTTATACTGGTTATATCTGCCTTTTCACAGCTCATCCAAAACCGGATATTTATTTCAATATTCCACTGTCTGGTTGTACTTCTCGAATCACGTGTATATGTGCTATTCCTGGATTCATCCATCATGGAATGAGGCGGTTAGTTTTAGATATGTATTACATTGAATTCTTCATTGTATAACCTGAAGTCCACCAAGAAGTGGACTGTTTTACAATGATCTTGAAAATATTCGAATCTGATATGTAGCTTGCCTTCATATCATATGAAAGTATCTAAACATCATCTAACTGCTTACTGATGAACGATTAGAGATTGTTGGTAAGAACAGGATTCAGTATTTTTGGTCAACTAAAAGCCAATATTCAGTACAACTTTGAATCTTTACTGGTGAATTGAAACTGCAACGCTTAGTATCTATGCCGTTTTTCATACGAACCAGTTATTAGAATATAAACAAACAAAGAACTAAGTGAACTTGATACGTGCTTCAGATTTAGAATAGCTGTTTTTACTTAAATATTTTAAGCGTTGGCATCTCCTGAACGAAAATTTATACTTCATCAGAACATTGACTTTAGATATCTGTTTACTAATACATTTTCTGCTCTTACTGTACAACTTTATTTTTGGTTACATAAAACGATGTTTGTTCAGAATATAAACCCTCAAAGCACAGAGGGTAACATACGAAAACTGCTCCAAATCTGTTGAGTTCAGTGTTCTGTATGGTGATCAACACTTGAAAATAGATAAATTACCTCGATGCATCCGCGCAGGAGCCTATAAGCCAATAGAGATTTATTCGGTTCACTCAACGACGGGATATTACAAGTAACAACAGTGTTTCGATAAATGTTTATCCATATCATAAATTGTTAAACTTAGGGATTCACAACTAATCTTGCTACATTTATCTCAACGTATAATATGACGTAGAAGCTCCGACTAGCTTTATACATTCATTTTACTGATTTAAAAACACTTAGGTGAGAATAAAAAAACTACCTTCTTCCCAGGTTTATGCAATCATTAAATGTGAATTTTATCTACATGTCATTGTGGAGAAGTGGCCTAGTGTCTTGGAGAGGTGACTATCAACCAGTGGGTCATGGCTTCGAACCAAGCTCCACCTACTAAGGTTTAGGCGGATAGCAAGTATCAATATCCCTCACCAAATAGATGTGGCTCATCGCATATTGTATGGATGTGCAAAAGATGACTGAATGCGTTACATTTTCGTTTCATCTTCAATTTAAGTATGTTTGAAATAAAATAATTTCAATGTCTTGCACAGAAGTCTAGGAAATAATCTGAAGCTAAATTCTCAAAGAAATATATACATATATGTGGGTTCGAAAGCATATACTCAATCTCTATGCCGATTCCGTTTCGTATATTTATTGGTTGTAAAATATAATTACTAATTATAAGACATATGCTATACTTGTATAAATCTCAAAGTATCTGAAATAATTATCTGAAAATGTGAGATTCTAGCCTCTGCCACGGTAGTCTGTCCCAACCTTTTTCAGGAAGATAAGCAAAAATTGAAAAATCTTCAATATATGAAAGATAGTAGTAATTATAATCGCTTTATTGTAAACAATATGTGTGATACAGTTTTGAATTCTCAGCACATAATCTGTCAAGAAAGTCACTCCCAGAACTACATTTTCAGACGAAATGATTATTGATTCTGAATAATGCTTATAATAACAACAGCATTCAAGGTAATAAAATGATACAGCCAGTCTGTTTTGGATTAGTATCCGATTTGGAATGAAGAATCAACAGAAAAGCGAGCGTACGTTTGGTATTGATGACTTCATTCAGTTAGTACACGAATTTGCAACTCAAGCTAAGTATTCGAGGAATTAAAACATCATGTACTTTTACGCACTGAATAATTCACTTCCATAAAAAGTGAAATTTTTTCTCTTTTGTTATTAACTCTAGAAACTGTGATTTGAAAACATATTAAAATTAATAATTTACCTGGATTCCTCTGCTAGCTACAATCAAGTAAATCATCTTCAATAATATTCAATCAGTATCGAGGCATCCTCATAGGAGCCCATATGTCGATAGAGGTCGGGCCACTTGATCCAGTTAAAGAAAGGAGAATTACAAGCGTATGAATGAATAGTAGTTTTAAGAATGTACAAGAGTACATGATACATTCACAGGGCATAATTAAGTGATTAAAAAATATTGAAAGAAAAAAATTATGTTTGGTGGAAAATTTTAGTAGTCCAAGGTTTAAGCAAGCAACTGTTTTATACATATATACCTTTTGCAGCAAATTATATGTAACTTTAGAGGATTAAGAGGATATGAAAATCATTTCTCCCCATCGGTCATTGCAGTGTGCTTTGATATTGTCTCACATTTTGGTGTTTCTTGAATACAATAGTGATGCATAGACATTGACTTGAATCACAACACGTAGTTCTTTGTAAATGATGATGCAAATAGCGCAAAATAAAAGTAGAGAACAAGTAAAACATTACCGCTAATGTCCGTTTTCTCCCCAAGTCTATTTATTCATCAAATGTTGTAGTGATGCTGTCAGTTCCACTCCGCTTCGTCTACACAAGCTGCAGAAGTTTACTTATATATTTAGAGCTTCAGAGGTTAACCTTTCTTCATGTGATATAAAAAAACTTTTAACAGAACTTACTTGCCTATGGCTAGTAGTGAAATCCAAGTCGCACGTTTCTTACGTTTAGGAGGTTGTCAGTAGAAATTTGGTTCCATCGAAATCAGCCTTGTTACTTGTCGAGATTAATTAATACGAAGCTCCAAACCTAGGCTTTGTTCTTTTTGGTACTAGTCAACAAATACTATCTGCAACATTCAAGAAAGCCACGTGTCACCCAGTGCCAGGGTCAGAGAGGATACTACTGAATTATTTGGGCTGAGATGTATATCCCGTTTCTATCGAATATAGTAATTACTAGTCATTCAGTGTAGAGCTACATGTTTCTTGCTACGTGATTTATGTGTGTATTGTTATTCATTTCCTTCTTCATTGCAAGTAATGGACAAAAGTGGTCACTAGTGATATCTCAGACATTACGTAACTGCATATGGATATAGAATGAAGCATATGAGATTAGTATGTGAATCAATTCTGTTAGCTTGTAGGCATACATTAAATTTTAATTTCTTTTTATTGTACTGTCGGAATAAAATAGCGACAAGTGGTAATACTTATGATAACAATAGTCATCAAATCAGTCCAGATTGTGCATTGTCACTGGTAGTAAAGATAATGAAGACGAGACAGGTGATTAAAGTGAACGCAAGGGTTACCCAAACTATTAATGTAAGAGTAAAACTTGGGCACTAGGGTAGAGCATAACGCTATATTGAGTAATTGATTGTGTATTGTACACAGTGAAACTTTATTTGCTGCAAGGCATTTCGTTACTCTAATGTGTTCAGAAGCAATACATTCTGCTCGAAACATTATCTAGTCAATAGTACTGTTTCATGGTGTACCATACCTAATGAACAATATAGTATGGAATTACTCATTCCACTAGTGAATCAGTGATTGCTAAGACGCAGCTATCTAAACTCTGTCTCTTCTGTTCAAACTATCTAGATTAGCTTGTACATGTAGGACTTAAGCAGTTACCCAGGTATGTTCACAAAAGAATGTCTGAAACACCATAGAAACCTAAAGTGTGCACTAATCCGTACATGACGCCAACTGCCTACCGCCTATCTGATACATTTCTAACTATTGCTGATAAAAGTGACTGAAAATATTTTCATTTTTAAGTCTTATTTTGTATATGTGCACGATCTTGGAAGCATTTTTTTTAATCTAAGAGCTGACCTGCTTTTTCTACAACAGAACATCCTACAGTCTGGCTGCCCAAAATATCCGTTCAAGATGTGGAGTAGAAAAGAAACGTTCTGGAACTACTGACCTCCCTCTTCTCGAAGTAGATCAAGCAGCAGTTGAAGAAAACAGTCAGCTTTCAAAATCAGATGAAACAGCTAAGGTAAAGATAGAAGAAAATTCTCCTGATGATAAAACTCATAAGCTTCCTGATTCGGAATTCGATAAAACAACTAAGATGATTTCGGGGGACTTTTCCAATAAGATACCAGAATCTACAACAGGTAATGTGGTTGAAAGGAAGAGTAGCATTTCACAAGATGTAAGTTCTGGTTCGTATTCAAATACTCCACCTGATACTCCAACCAACGCAGAATCCACACTAAAACTGTCAGATGGCGATGAACCTAGAACAGGTGATCTTCAAGTTTCCAAAAGTTCGAATAGTCATGCAGAATCTAATGCATCTCAGATGCAGAAGAGTGAATCAGTCATTCCGACAGATAGTAATCAATGTAGCACACAACAAACATCAAATCTCGATTCACAAAAGGAAAGTGGTTCAGTGATAGCTGTTGTTTATGCATCTGATCCAGATGAACCTACATCCAATGAATCTGACTCTTCAGATATTAGTGAAACCGAAGGCGATTTGACGCAGCCAATACTTTCGGAAACTTTTTCAGATAACTCTTCTTCCAAGGAGACTGATACATATACCAAAGCGAACAGGGAAAACAAAAGAAAAGGTAGATGTTTTTGAATGTTTCGTGTTTTATTCCCTAGATAGTTATTCAAAATCTTGAAAGTCATTTGTCTCCATCAACCACCAGATCCTTGATAGAAGCAAGTAGGATTTATTTTCCAGTTAGCCATAAACATGTGGGCCAGAGTAGAGTTTAATCAAGAGCTCATTATCACACCTTCTGTTTGGCGGTGGAGCAGCAGGTAATAACATTTTGTTCTAGCTTTAAATTCCTTAGTAGTGAATACCCAAGACCACATCAAGCATCAAGCCTAGGAGTGTCAGGTCTCGTGATGAACACATTACCTTTAGTCGACCGGAGTGAGATTAAATTGTCAGTTCTTTTTCTACCTCTCTCAATTTGCTATGCTGCTCGATCATCAACCGTTATTAATCATGGTCATTCATCTTCACACTCATCTTGGTCGACCCTAGAAGCCGCGGTTACTCATAAACACTTTAATAAGTCACAGTAATTCAACTATAGGCTTTTTGGTGAATTGACTACTTTCAACTTTGTTTTTACTGGTCAGTATCAACACTTAGTTGAAATGTCATTAAAACGCCCTTTTGTTTCATTAACCTTCCTTAAAATAGGACTATCATTACTGGTTTGTCGAACCACCACCATCTCAGATAGCCAAACTGATAATCGGTATGATGCTCCCCTTCTTCAATTCACTTAGATTTAGGTTGGGATGAGAAGTCCAGACTAGGTAACTAGTGTGAGTTGGATCAGACGGTAGTAAAGCATCAAGAATTCACATGGTAGTCGGGCGAAACCAATGGTGGCTAAAGTGGAATAAAAATATAGTCATCAACCAGGCCTCGTAGCACAGCTGACACAGCACCACAACGGAAACACAGTGGCCAGTGATTCGAATCCAACCACGATCTAAATTTTCATTTCACCTTCAATCACCACCCAGTGTCAATCAAAGAAAGCGTTAAGCAGATCTCGTTGGTGATCAGATTGCCGTAAGAAAGAATCTATGAGTGATAGTCAGTTGATCAAGTGGCTGAAATGAAAAGGTGTATACTTACTTTTCACGAAAAAATATATTAAATTCCATAATTAAAATTTACTCCTAGAAATCTTTTCTATAAACAGTTCGAGCCAACAAATCCACTTAAAACTCAAGTTGAATAATCAGAAGTTGTTTAGATTCGCATTTATAGCAGGGCGAATAAACTACTCAACACCTGTAGTAATGAAACTTGTAATTTCCCGCTGCTACACAGGGTCGAAACAGAACGAAACATGCATCTTGTGTTCCTCTGCTAGTCTCCAAGATCAATATTCAACACCGGTTATTTTATTGATACTGTTTATCGGCTGAATTCTCTTTCAACTCAATGCATATACAAACATCAACTAAATGGCATTTAGAAGAACTAAATTGAACTATGAAAAAGCTTTCTTCTCCATTAATAATCAGTTTTTCTACTTCCATCTCACCCTTTTGAATATTTTATGAAAAAAACTCCTAAATAAACAGTTTACAGATATAAGCAAAAAATGTTGTTCTCTACCCATTAAACAAAACTGAACTTAATGAATGTGAATATGGATAATAAATTATGTCCGAAAAATTATCTAGTAAATGATACTGTTTCACTGTGTGACATTTCTTATAAACAGACTAAAATAAATTGAGGTAAATTCATCCTATCAGTCAATTGCTTTTGTCTTCTTCACTATAGAAGGATGTTCCAGTTCGCAAGCGAAAAACAATTTTCTTACTAGTCCAGCGCAATCACTGATGTGGTTGGGTACTGAAGAAGGAAGGTGAGTTTGCACAGAAAAAATATACTTGTCTGCTTTTATAAATAGATAGATAATATTTTCTGTAGGTTCTTGAACTTTTTATATAGCTGAAAGCATCAACTTGTTCAGTAGTGATGTTAAAGTATGTTACTTTCGTTCGCATTAGGATAACTTATTTTATTTCTAAATGGACTTCAATAAAAGCAACTGGATAGATTTTCGATTTCAGTTTATTGCTCATAATCATTACATATAATATTCTTATTTCAATTTATAGTTCTACTGGTTTTTAGTCTCGAAATTATATAGAACTATTTTTTTAGACATTTTAAGTATCCACGGCATAAACAAAGCTTCCCTTCACCTAGTTATTTTATAAAATTTGCTGTCTGTCGCATTTTGTTGAGTGGCTATGTGTAGCAGCATGCTTTTAGACTGGAAGAACAACGTAGAATCTCACACACTGGTCCATCAAAACAAGTTGCCACACAAAGAACACATGGACAGAAAAAGAGTGATATCAAAGTAGACAAAGTTGTATGAGCGAATAAACAATCTAAAGATAGTGGTTAGTGCAAATACTCAAGCTCTAGAAGATATCATGGAGTGATTGCATCTACACCATTACGACCGATTTTCAGCTTTGACACAAAGAGTCCTCAACCATTGACTCCTATTTTCTCGAGGACCCCCATCAGTTAGTCTACACCTCCCCATGTGCCTCAGACCAACAGTTGGAGACTTCGTGAACTGGTATCACGCCTTAGTCTGAGTCCTCTGAACCCTGTTCCAACCTGATCCTATTTCTACGAACATGGTACATCGAGGTAGGCGGTGGATTGGCATGCACAATACAAAATAAGGCAATGTTATTCTCTGGAGAATATTTCAAGCTGAACTGATTACTGATAAGTATATGAAGGCAGTTACATGATTTCCAAACTTTATTTTCAATCTGGGACAGTTCTTTGTTATTTCACTCTAAGGGAGGTAGAGCTTACCTAGCATCTAAAAGTTAACGTTCCGGCTCTTTGAGTTAGGTGTTAGTTTGTCGAAAAAACTTCACTAATCAATTTCTTTCACCATGTGGACGTATTTGATTTTACAAGCACCACGTTATGTCACAGATTATAGTTATGAATAGGTGCATGTACAAAGATATTTAAGCTGTTTTGGAAGTTATATCGATAGGGTAGGCCAAATCTCATCTTACAAAACAATTATGATCCTATATCCTGACTGACCCGGAAAAGTTTTGTTATTCCTAATGTTGAGCTTCTTAAAAATCATAGTAATTTGCTTTAAAATCAAGGTCTTGAATGGCAATTTTCTTATACTTTTAACTGGATGTGAAGATCAGTTGCTAAATGAAGTACAAGTCAACTAAACGACATCTGAATGTAGTCCTAATGACCATTCACTTCGTTTTGCACCGGAGGAAGTTAAAGTTTGTGCTACTCAAGAATAACCCATTGATTCGTAACGGGAGAGTAACCAGTTTCATGTTGTGTAGTCCTGAGTGCACACTGAATTCAATCGATCATACTTGCAGTGTTGCTACCAGACTAGACAGCTCAGCATCGCGGTGCATATTGGTAGATGTTAATTGGTTGAAGGCAATCAGCAGGAAGCTGTGGACTTACGTCTTGTGCTCGTTGGCACTCGTCAGCGAGACATATCTACAACCTTGGTGGAACTGTTGTCCCTCTTGAGTCTGTACACAGAATTAGACAACATGAAGTTGGTTGTCCACCGGTGGCCAATCAATGCATATAAGATAGTCCCACAGGAGGTGAATCGTGACTTGAATAGCTCAGTGGTAACATCGATAACTACAACACTGGGTGATGTACATTCCAGTTCAAGGTAAGACAATATTTACGTCGAACTTGTAGATGCACCCATGTCCAGGGCTTCCTGCCTATCTCCCCCAATCAACTAGTACTCAGGAACAATACTTTGTTTTACGATATTCTGCGCTGCTCAGATTTTCTTCTCTTTTAGTCCGTAGACTGATTCGGTTTAACATCATCATTACTCATCAGCAATTTTCATTGATTAGATTTTTATGAACAAAACTAATATATCGAATGCTTTTTAAAAATTGGGTTTAGGCAGTTAGACCAAGTAGATTTTACAATGAACGGATGCGCAAGGTCAAACTCCAGTAAAATTTGTACTGCAGATCATTTTTCAACCTACAGCTCCATTACTTTCATAGTCACTGTAAACACATCTATAACAAGTGAATTTTAGTTAATTCTGAAGTTTAAAACTGACTAAAATAAGGACCGAAATATTTCAAGACTGGCTTCAGTTACCCAATACTTCTTATGGCATATTCGGATCCATAGCAAAACTTTATTCCTTAAGCCTTCAAAGATATAATTATTCGCCCAATTGGAACTGACATGTATGGTGTTCAGTAACCATGGAACTCAGTTTCATGCTACCAGGCATTTGTAACCAAGATATATTTACAAATTAACCAATGATAGTCAAAAGCACAAAAGCAAATTATAGTGTTCTCTGTCCTTCACTTCTGGTCATTCAAAATCATGAAAAATTCAGTGAAGCATCTAGTCAGCATAATTCTCGGAAGGTTCAGTTTCAAATAAATGGCACTAATCCTTATTCACTGAACTCTCAACGGAATTCAGAGATCTGCAGGGATTTGGCTGCTTTCAGGGTAATAACAACCATACAGTGACATCAGTCGAAGTACAAATAGACATCTGTTTTGTCCTGAAATGGGAATCCTCAGCAGTGCCTGCCTACGACCTTTTCTGGGATCGAACTCAGCACCTTGGTTTCTCGCCGTAAGCATAAACTGACACAATTTGGAAAGTCTGAACCACTAGATATCAACCCAGTTGTTGAGTAACCCAATGGTTTTCAACTATTTTTCAATTGATGTCGGTCCATGGGGAATCGTAACCTGAAATTCTTTTTGTTAGGTGTTTTCGGGACATAAGTTTTGCTTTAGTTCTCTCAATGTATTTATTACACAGTGAAACAGTATTGCTTACCGGATAAGGTTTCGAGATCCATATATAACTCATAACCATATTATACAACTCTCTGCTCTTACTTTATAGCTACACTATTTCTCATTCTTTGATTTAATCTGCAATAAACCCAGTCACTTATCTCGAACCGGTATCGAGCGATTTTTGCTACACACTTCAAGTGTCAACTCGATAAACAAAACTTCACTTCTCTCCCTCTACCTACCTTAGTTACTTGCAATTTGCACTCTATCATATCCTACTGAATGGCTGTATGTCACATCATACCTAGCTGTGGTTAGGTTCTTTTCTTGTTAAAGGCTGCCATTCTGAACTTAGCTAATTGTTTGTTTTTTTGCTAACCAAGTTTATCGCGAACAGTTGGTTGTGAAGGTATATGAAAGCAATAAGCATAGAAATGATGGCACACTGTAAAAACTCTTTACGTACAATCTCAGTTGTTGAAGCAACCCCATTCAAACATGGACTGGAAATAAATGATGAAAAGCTGTCTTGTTGTATTAAGAAGTTATGTGAGAGGAGAATGTAGGTTTAGATACCAGTGACTACAAAAAGCGGCTGAGGACACGGCTGAGGAGTCTCAATAAGACGAAACAGTGATCCTTGGTTCTCACTTTCTCTCCAAATGATGTCACTCCGTGATGA